CATGAGAGTAACGTGACAACAAGATGTGTGGCTGGCAACTGACACAATCAATCATTTGAAATCGATCAATGTCAAGGCTACATTCAGGCCACACACACACACACACACACACACACACACACACACACACACACACACACACACACACACGCACACACACACGCACACATACAAACTTTAGTATATGCAAACAAAACATTTATTGCAGAGCCAGTCGACGTATTAAAGCAATTATCACATTAGAATGAGGCAATAAATAAAAGAATATTATATAAAAAAAATGAAAGAAATGGTGCTGTTGTTGATGTCATGATGACTTCTTTGATGTTTTTTTCTTTGAATAATTTAATAAATTTTTATTGAAACATTTTTATATTTACATTATATATTTAGATGAAATAAATTTTATAAATAGTAAATATTGTAGAAAAAAATTCCATATTCCAACATCAATAACACTATCAGCGCGATGGTGTAATGGTTAGGGTGCCTGTCATTGGCGTTGCAATCACCGGATTCGAATGCAAAAGTGCCTGTGATGCAGTAACTCACGTGTATTTACACACACTGTGTTTTTGTGTATAGCTCTGACTTGAATAAATGAACACAACATTAAAATAAATAAGATTGGAGAACGCATACATTCAATAACATCACATAATAATACATAACATTAAATAACAAAATAACATCAGTATGCGTTACCTTAATCTTAATGTCATCGTCACATCCCATCGATAAATGTAAAATTTTATACTTAGCATCATGATGTCATACGTACATATTTGTCGTAACATTAGCACATACGTCATTCGACAACTAATTGGTGGTGTTCTTGAACTAACATAAACGAATAATCATTAGTGCCTAGAAATACCACACGCGCCCACACAACAACACACACATACACGGACAAACACACATACACCAACACACACACATACACGCACACACACACACACACACACACGAAATGGCAGGTCAGTACGTTCTACATACCGCACTCACACTTAGTATTTATTTACACGTGATTGTTAATATCATTAAAGCTATTAACTACATAGGAAAGCTCATGACAAAAGTAGTCTCGTCTGCTTGAAGTTATTTGATGTTAGTAGAGACAATACTCGCTCAGTATGCAGTAACCGTCACAATTATTATTACCATTAGATATCTTCTTAATGTTGCACGTTCGTAATTAGTCAAATTCTATCACGAAATATGGTGAGACAATTAACTGAACGTTGCAATTTGTAAAAACACACCTGATCAAAGCAAGTGTTCATTTTCTTACTAATAAATAGTTAAGATATCTCGAATTATTTACTGAAAGTTTTTTTTTAAAGATTAAGAAAAGAGTTAAGTTCTGTCGCGACAAGGATGCATGTATAGGATAGCGAAGGCCTGTTATAGCGCTCTGACCTTGTTTAATTCGAACGTTATCTTATGCGAATCTCAGAATCAGTAATTATTATCAGCTTTAATCATGAATGCTTGCAAGTTTATCAAAAACTTGAAACAAGTTTGTTTTTAGAAAAATATATTAAAAATTAGTCAATAGTTATACATCGTCGTAAAAATTTGTGTTAACTGTTACCTCCATGCTTTGTTTCCTGTTCATCTTGTAACTTTAATACAATGACATTTTTCATAATTCGTTGGTAAGATATTTCATAAAGATTCGCTATGGAGGACAATTATAATCTGAAAGCACCATAACTAAGCTAAATTAAGATTATTTTTCTTCTTCGGTGACCTTTTAATAAACCGCTTTTTGCGCTTAAATAAACTTGTCAAATCAAATCAAAACACTCTCAAAAGTCAGGGCACGAAAGTTTCATTATCGACCATTTTAAGTTTTTCTGAAGAATGGCTTTCGAAAGAACCACTACAAATATTATTCTGAATGAATTCTGGTGACATCTTTATCATTTTCAATGTCTTCATCATTATCACGTAGAAGCAGTGAGAAATAAAAATATTTGTCATCAATATGATGATATAATTGTTTGTTAGTTGGACCCGACGAAGCAGAACTGGATTCCTTCATTTATTTAACAAACACCTTTTTACATGTAAATATTAATCAAACGAACAATAAATTGCAAAATATTATTCCAGCTACTATATTGTACATATATATACATATATTTTATATATATATATATATATTATATATATATAACAAATGTTAAGTTACATGGAAACAACAAAAAACGAAAGCATTGAAACAAACAGCTCAGATTTTGTTAAAATGTATATGAAAATAACGGATAAACAAACAAACAAACAAACGAACGAACGAACGCGTGTTTTTTTCTGATTGTATAAGAATGAAAGAATAATAAATTTATCACAAATCTTGAAAAGTTTTGCAATGAGTCATTTTGTACTAACTAAATTACTAAACAATTTAAAATAAGCGCTACACGTTATTTAACAATTTTATTTTAATTATAACCCGACAGCGAATTTCACATTTACTATAACAATCTTATTCATCAATCAATCAACCTGGCTTGATTAACGAAAAGCTTTAACCGATCCTTAAAGGACAGTAATATTTACCTTAAATAAGCTACAACAACAACACACGTTTAGACGACATTTTCCCCGAGATCGGGGGTTACCGTTTGACTACCTATGATAAAACCGAAATACCCCTCGACGCCATCCACATCTGTCACTTGCCTCAGTATCACGCAACCCCGCTTTCACCCTGTCCTTCTCCACCTGCTCTCTCCATCCCAATCGCGGACGACCCCTTCCTACCACTCCTTCAACCTCGAACTCCAACGCTCGCCTAATCCCGACCCTTTCATCCCTTCTCAACACATGTCCATACCACCGCAATCTCAATCTCCTTATCAATGTCACAATGTCCTCATTCAGTCCCATCATTGACATCAGCTCTGTACTACTCCTCCTATCCTTCACTTTAACCCCACACATCATCCTCACCATAGCTCTTTCAGCCCTCTGCACGAACTCTAGCCGTAACTGCGCTCAAACATCCTCCATCCGCGTTCAGCTTATCCCCTAAGTAAACAAAGCTTTCCACTCTTTCAATACCACCACTCAACCCCGTCCTTGCGTCCGTCCTATTAATCACACCATGAACACATTTCTTACATTTGAACGTGCCTTCCACCTTTTTTAGTGCCCCCCTCACACCACTACATCTCTTATGCACCCATTTCTGACATCCTATACACAATACCGAGTTAGCCTTCACTCTCCTGTCACATATCCCACAGGGGTCTATTTTACTTATCACTCGCTCCCCACCTTCCCCACTCACCATTACCTTCGTCTTACCAATATTAACTTTTAACCCTTTCTTTTCAATAACACTTTTCCATCTGTCAAATTTTAACTGCAAATTTTCTTAAATAAGCTAACTAAATTAAAAGCTATATATTAAGAATTCGACAGCTAAGTGCTAAAAATGATGGCTGGAATAAAAAAGTCCAGCCCGTAATGGGATGGAGACTATAATAGAGGATTGATAAGTGTTAAAACTAGTAAATGATTTACGCTAAGGGTAAATTGATCGACCGAATAAATAATAAATAAATTAATTAATAAATATTCAACACATAGATCAGTGATGGCATACAAAAAGAAAACAATTACTCGAATGACATATACGTATAAATAAATAATATATATTTAATCACTTTTAATTATTAGATTTTTACACAAATTACTAAAAGCGATAATAATAGTAGAAATTAATTATTTATTTGACTAAAACCGATAACGCTACCATGTTACAAAACATTTGGCGTTTAGCGATATTTTGTTGACAATCGAAAAAATTTTTTTATAATATTGAATCATCAAAGTAAACTATAATTAAAATAATATTTTATAATAATAATATCATTAATTAACAATAGAGAAAATAAATTAAATCGATTACTCATTACAATGAATTAGTCATCAGAGAACAAACAAACCAGTAGATAATAAGATTGAATTGTTTTTTTTAAATTGAATTGAAAGAACAAGAACAAAAGCTTAAGAAATTATTATTATTTTATTATTCTTTACACTGCGCGTACAAAAAGCAGTTGTACACGCATTACTGTACGACATTGCACACCTTCCAAGAGACATCCAACACTTAAACATCGCATCGAAAATTTAAGGTATTCTTCCGGCAGACCATATTTCATACTTCGGTCTCTCTTTCTCTCTCCCTCAAATCTCACTCTCTCTCTCAAATCTCACTCACACTTTTTTTTCTTTCTCCATGTCCATTCACCATTAAATCAAAAAGTACCTGGAACTAAATAACCGATCGATCGAAACATGAATATTTCACTAAATGACGGATAAACCAATTACACTGGCAGAGTTTAACGTTGGCATGGTGGCTTAAAGCTATGTTCATAATCAATCAATCGATTCATCAATCAATGAGGAGAGTGCTATGTCGAGGAGTCCAGCAAGACTCCTTAATTCTCAGTACGGATGTCTACTGTTCAGTTGTGCAATCAAACATCTCAACGTCCATAATGTAGATGAAAATGATGAAAATACTATGATTATGCTTCACACTACACTAACATTACAATGAATGAATAATGAATTGAAGACTTGATAATTAACTGCATACATGAATATATATATATATATATATATATATATATATATATATACATGAATATTCATACATATGCACTAAATGAATCAAACCTGTCAACCTATCATAAAATCATACAAAACTTCTACACATTCTCCCAACCTATCTAAACGGTCCAAAAAAAACCTCCAAAACAAAATATCAATGCTAATTGCTTGCACATCAATGCATAATGCAGGCTAAAAACAAACACGCAAACTCACACACAAACACAAAAGCGTGCATCGGAAGTACAAACACAATCACGTACAAACATACATATGCATACGATAACTTATGAAGAATAGTAAAGAGAGAAGGATAGGAGAGAGAAAGAGAGAGAGATAGATAGCAAGAAAGAGAAAGTTGATCACATGACGAAGACTTTTTGAACGTCTGCGAAGTTGAATACTTCATTGGTGCGGGGACATGTTATGACGTTGTTGCTTTTCTCCGCCATCTCTTTCAGCGCCTGTTAAGTTAGGTTAAGTCACCAACATAACCGTTATACCCCAACAATTCAACATTTTTGTGATTTTAAATTAATTAATTTTAAATAAAATTTTCATTGGTGAATATAAATAAATTAGTCAGCTAATTTTACTGAGATAAAATAGTGAAAAATTTTAAAAATGGACCCAAGTGAAGAAAAATTTAATTGAAAATAATGTATCATATCACCAGGAAAATTCTATTAGCAACAATTTTCCAAAGATCAATCATCATCATCATCATCAATATGATCATCTTCATCATTAGCAGCACCACAGCAAGACAAACAAACACCTACGTTGTATCCATAGACATAACCATTTGGCAGCATGGTTGGCTGGTTGTATTCATTCATCTGCTCTCCTTGGAGATCAATCATTCAAAATATCATTATTTAAAGTTGCAAACGGTTTAATTGAAATAAATCTAAAGTTAAGTTAAGCATTCTCTACAAGCAATCAGGTTGTTGTTTATTACATCACAAATTCGAACTATCATTTACATTTGAAAACCATCAACGCATTAATTATTTTTAAAAAAAGCTAGCCAACCAACCGGAAATGAAACAAAAAAGCTTCGATTGGGCAGTATGAGCGTAGGGGAGTCTGCAGGCTAGTGAGTTGAACAGGGGTAAACAAACAGGGCAGTTGGTCTGTGGTTTGATGGTGTTGTTGTTGGGGGAGGTGACCGATGACGGGGGGTTGGATGGGGTGGGAGTTGTGGGGGAGGTGCCTGTCGGTGTTGCAGAGTTGTCAGAAGTGGAAATGCTGTTGTTTAGGTTGGCGTTGTTGCTGGAGTCATTCTTATGGGTGACTGCACACTGGCTGTTGTCAAAAGTTTCATGTATCAAAGTTTTTTAGATAACAATTCTATGGTATCAATTAAAATAAGTTACAAAGAAGTTCAAGGCATTTTTAACTATTTATAACGTCATGATTAACACCTAATGATTTAATAGTTTAATGTGCTCGTACAAACAATCGTTTAAACGAACAGCCTGAAAATGAACCAAATTAATTAGACAAACAAGAAAGTGAGATAAACAAATAAACCAAACCAAATAAACAAGAAAATAGAGGGACACAAACAAAACAAACGAACATAAACAAAAAAAGAGCTGCTAAATGATTAAAAAAGTGAGATAAACAAATAAACCAAACCAAATAAACAAGAAAATAGAGGGACACAAACAAAACAAACGAACATAAACAAAAAAAGAGCTGCTAACGGCGTCTTGAGAGCGGATAGGCCTGCCTGGAGAGTGAGGATGAAGATGGAATCGTTGTTCATCTGGTAGAGTTTGTAGTTCTCCTTGCGAAACAAATCGATCAGCAGCTGCCATCTCTTCTCGTCGAGCAGTTCCTGTAAATAAACAATGAACAATTTCCTCATCCTCTTCATCATCATCATCAGCAACAACAACCAACTCGTCATCATCATCATTACACTTTTAATGATAATAACACTAACATCATCATGTAGATAGCCATGAAAATCATCACTTCAAACAACATTGAAAAACGGTCTCGTAAAGATTAAAAAAATATATTCAAAAAGTATTTTAGCATCTGTATGACTTCTCGGCAGGAGAGGACAGATCTATCGATCAACCATCAATCAACACTGACAACACACATTACGTTGCGTTACATGTGACAGTAACGAAGCACGTTGTTGTCACTGGAGACAGTTGATGTCATGTGTTATTGTCACGACTACTCCCCTTGGCAACATCAAACGTTTATGTCTGTTTGCTATTAATTTAAGGCATGCAGAACTTCCTGCTATCATGCACTCAACTTCAATGAAGCCATTGCAAACAATTTTGTTTGGTTTTTGATAAAATTTTTATAAAGTATTTTTTTAAAAACGCCTGATAAATAAACCATGAAAAAAAATATCAATCAATTAATCATCAAAATATCAATCGAATCTATTAAACACATCTAACCCAACAAATCTTTCAACATAAAGTCAGAACCTTGTAAGGTGCAATTTGTGTGTCCAGAGGAAATGCCAGCAGTGCCATAGTCTTCTGGATTTCAGAGTAGAGGGGGTCCTCAAGGGAAGATACATATTTCCTGGCATGCCTGTGGTGTGGTTGCGTGTGGTGTTGTGCTGTTGCACGCGTTGTGTTGCATGTGATGCATTTACTTTTTATAAACTAGATACTTTATGATGTTGTTTTCTTGTAGTGTGGCTGATCTTGTTGTAGTCATTAATGTTGGATATGTTGTTATTGCTAAAAATGTTGTCAGCGTTTCTTAAGGTTTTTATTGTATCTAGCTTTGGAACAAATTGTTAGCGCTGCTGTAGTTTGTTAAAAAATTTGTACAAAATAGATTTTGTAGCTGAATGGAGGAAATTGTGACCGTCAAATTATTTGATAACAGTTATTAATTCATGAAAAGATTTTGGCAATATTTATTTAGTGAAATCATTTTATTTTATAAATGATTTGTTTGAGTTAAAAATAATTTGAGTTTGGGCAAGCGGGGTTGGATGGGGCAAGCGGGGTTGGGTGATACTGAGGCGAGTGACAGATGTGAATGGCGTCGAGGGGTATTTCGGTTTCATCATAGGTAGCCAAACGGCAACCCCCGATCTCGGGGAAAATGTCGTCTAAACGTGTGTTGTTGAGTTAAAAATAGTTAAAAATGAAAATTTGAGAAGACCTAATTTATGAGGAAGAATGAGTGAGAAGATGTCAAACAGGATGCTGAGAAGATGAAAGATAAGTTTTCATAATTACTTGAAAGTTTATTTATATAAGAAATTTTGTAAAAATTACACATAAATTTTTAATGATCTGTTTTTATGTTAGAAATAAATATTGGAGCATACACAAGCGTACTGATTAGTAAACAATATAAACTGAGAATGCATTTCAAAGTTCAAACTAGTGACTAAATAGTGAAAGAATTAAAAAAAACCAATGTTCATCATTTATTTATGATGGTTTATTTACTAATAAATATATTATTTAGTGCGATAGCATATAATAATAATATAATAACCAGATGGCTTCAACTCTTTTGCCCGCTTTAACCAATTCAATAAATTCTTGCTGGTGAATTTTGAACTCCAAAGTTGACTGAAATGAAAAACAGAAGAACATGTTTCACACAAAATCTTTTTTTCAACATTAGAGACACATTTTTTCGCACAATAATAACGTTTCAACCTCAAATATAGCTAATGTTTAGAAGACTTATGAAGAATGACAAAACTAAAACTTAAAATAGTAACTAACAGCTTACAACTTAACAAACATTCAACGTTAAGTAAACCTGGCATGTCAAACAGATATGTTCATATTAAGTTCTTAATACACCAGGATTAATGAGTTAGTAGTACAAATATGTTTCAGATCAAGTGATCTTACTTTAAAAGCCTTACAATTTTATCTTGAAAATAAAAGAAGAACTGGTGATGAATGTTTGAAATAACTGAAAATGAAATGATTGTTTTAGATCATATTCAGATGCCAGTGATGTTTATTATCCTTGCAATGAAACAAACTATAAGAAAGGTACCAATAAACATTAAAAATGTATAAAAATAATAAAAAATTAATGATTGGTGTGAAATCTCACTAATAGACAATAGAAAAATTACTAATTGAATAAAAAATAAAACGGAAAGAACCTTTAATTTCTTGAGTTTGGACTTGTTATCTTGGCACCAGGCCAAACATTTTGTTGTATCCTTCATCATCAAGCCTGCCTCAACCTCTTTGGACACCAGGAACAGATCAATGTTTGTCAAATCCTGCATACAATTAAACATTCCTTCAAACCCTGCATACAATAAAACATTCCTTCAAATCCTGCATACAATGAAACATTCTGTCAAATCCTGCATACAATTAAACATTCTGTCAAATCCTGCACACAATTAAACATTCTGTCAAATCCTTTGTACAATTAAATATTCCTTCAAATCCTTCGTACAATTAAACACACACATATTCAGTCAGTATAATAGTTAACTTTATATTTAATATTCTTCTTATCATCAATTTCATCATAATCTTTTTGAGACAAAATCTGTCTGAAAATTACCTAACTGTTAAACCATGCTCTAAGAATTAGCCAATTCATCATTTTTAGAATAACTTAGAATTTTAAGGTGCTAATCTAGCACTAGCTTTTAAAAAAATAAACAAGTTATAATCATCATTGTATATTATTCTTATTATTTATTTCCTTATAAAATTTTACAAGATATTATAATTGAATTAACAAATAAATATGAGCAATGGTTGTTCCTGTGGGTGAATTTAATGCAGACGTATTCTCTTCACGTGTTCAAGGAAAACGCTGATAAATGTCAAATGGCTAAGAAAGAATGTAAACAAGAACTTATCATTTCAAACAGTGGATAATTTTTGAAAGCTAAGATGAGCTGTTTTTTCAAGTATATCTGTTCCATGTTGAAATTTAAAATAAACCACAACTCTTAAATACAATGATGTATTATGTCATGATGTTATTCACGTCACAGGAATTGAATAATAATTGTTCAAATCATCTCAAGTGATAAAAAAAATACGAATTCTGAAAATATTTGAAATTCAGTTTAACCTCAATTCCGGAACATTTTGCTAATTTGAGAGCTGTGTTGTAGTAGCCAGACCTCAAGAAATACTCGACGAGCATCCGATCTAATCTCTTCCTTTTCCATGCATTCAACTTTGAAGTAGACGCCATGCTGACTTGGGAGGAGGAAGGTGAAGGAAGTGCAGAGGATGACGACAAGGAAGATGATGGACCTGGAGTGGCAGGAGTTGAATCATTCTCCTTCAAGTGATCTATACGTCTCTTACAACTTTTTGCTGCATCAATTTCTTCCTTGACAACTTCCTCAGCCTGATTTTTAAAAATCAACAAAAATATTTTCAATATTCAAAAAGATAAGCAAGATTATAATATATTTAAAAAAATGAAATAAATGTTGTTTAAAAAAAAATTCCAAACAATAGCAAATTTACTTAAAAGTAACTATTAAAAATATGCTTTTCAATAACTAGGATTCTGATGTTAAATTGTTATTTATGTATCAAACATTTGAGAGCTAGCGGCCAATTAGGATTAGTATAACTAAAATCTTATAGATGAATTAATTAAAACATGTTATATTTTAATTAAAAAATTACCTCACTAAAAAGTTAAAATCCACAATAATAAATCTAATGATTAAATAAAGATTGACCTTTCTTTTGAGGTAAATGAGCTTTTCAGTAACGCCTATAATGGCCTGACTTATCTGTTGTTTTTTGTTGCTTGGCTCCATGTCAGTGGCAGGGTTATCAATACATTTTTCAAGTTCTTTAATAACCGTGTGGACTTTCTGCACCTCCCTGTCTATGCTCTTCTGCGCAACTCGAAACTTTTTATTCAGGACTTCATAAGGTACCTGAAACAAAACAATTTATTAATCTTAAATGTCCATTGTCTACATTTTGCAGGACAATAGACATTTTGCCTGCTTCTACCAATCTAATCATGACTACTAAATTTTTTAGAAGAGCATTTCAAGTCCTCTACTAACTTTCAAAGTCTGATGCTCCAGACATTTTATGTCACTAACTGGCACATAATTAGAGGCCATGATTTCTCGTAAATACAAATATTCTTAATTAATGTTTTTTTTAATTCAATGACTACAAAAACAACTTACAGGACAGAGAAGTTCGCAAATAATTCAGGAAACAAATAAGTCGCATACGAAATACGAGAACAAAATATGGCAAGCTTCTTTCTTTAAAAACCACACTAAATTATTTTGATCCCATGGAATTTTTATTTATATAAAGAAATAAAAAATAAATAATTTAGCTAATAGTTGCGCAATTAATTCATAAATAAAAATATTTTTAATGTTTGAAATAATCTTATTTATTATAATTATGAAATCTGGAGGAACCATCTTTTGCATTGGGCATTAGTCGCGTAGAAATTAAACTGATTTTACAGTTTTTTCGTTCATTTCACTTAATGGAGTCCGTGTAATTTTTGCTTTGTTAACGCAAAAAATGCACTCTGAAAGCAATTTTTAACCGAATATTTTTAGCGTTAAAAATACAAAAATCTATTAATTTTATCAAATGAAATACATTTCATGAATAACCAGCAAAATTTATTTCATTTCGAGCACAAAACAGCCTAAAATAAAATAAAATAAAATAATGTTTCTATACAGTTCTATGCGTCTGTTAGATCCTGATTTTTAAAGAATAATAAAAAAAAATGTTGAAAGCATGAAAGAAATTTTTAAACGCATCTATCTTTCCTAAGATTAACTCTCAGAGACAAAAAGGACGTCATCGGAAACAATTAGAAGTGCGTGACAGGGTGGATGAGAACGAACGACGACTGGCTCAGCCAACAGCAGACATAAAATACTTTAATTAGCAGCTCCTGTTCATGGTACAGAGGACTGTATCATTCTTTGTATCATCCTTATTTCTATCATCATTGTTTGTATCATCATCGTTTGTATCATGATCTTTTTTATCATCTCAATGTCATTGTTTCACCATCATTTGTATCATCATCATGGTATATCTTATTTTTATAAACATCAAAACGCCATCATAGTCATCGTCTTCCTCACTATTATCAACACCAAATCATTATAGGCACAATTTTTATTTCAAAACTTTGAATGAAGAAAAAATTCGCCAGATACGAAAAAAATAACAATTATACTGCAGCTACGTTTTTGGTGTAAAGTTGGGATCCAAGAATATTGTATTTTTAAAATAAAACCCAATCATCACAAACATCATCATCTACCTCATCATCACAAACATCATCATGATGATGACGATGCTGTGAAGAAAAAAATCATTGATGATGGTGATGACGATGAGAATAATGATGATAATGATTATAAATTAAATTTTTTCAACGTATATAATTGCGACATTGTATGTGGTCAGTCATTCAACAAAAAAAGCCATATTAAAACGGAAATGTCCTCTGTCCATAATCATCTCCATAACTCTACTCAACCTCATCATCATCGTTGTCGTCATCATCATCGTCGTCTTCGTTGTCGTCGTCATCATTCTAATCCTCATTATCACAACTCGCTGCATTTAGATCTTAATCCTTCTTCGTGCAAAGTTCGCGCGATATATTTTTTTCAAATTCTGATTGAAAAAAGCTGGAAAAAATTTAAATGATGAAGACGATGATGACTACAATGATGAAGACGACAATGATGATGACGATGATGGTGATGATGATGAAACTTCAAGTTAGTGTTATCAAATATAATAATTAATGTTAAGAAAATTTTTCAAAAAAATTATTTAATTTTAGTTAAATTATGGTAAAAAAATCAATAATTATCACAAATTATCATTCTATCAAAAAAACTTTGACAAGGATTTTGTCAATTTTCCTATTTGAGACGATGTTTTTGAGTAAAAAAAATAACCGTGTTTTAACTTTCAGATTTATTCATGAAAATATAAAGAATGAATCACAAATGAACAACACGAAAAGGGCACAAAGAAGTGTGCAACTTATAATGCACGTACCCAATTTATCAGTCAACCCTGTTTTATAAGAAATTGAGCAAGAAAACATAAAATAGTGTTTTAATGTTATAAAAATGATTCGTGTTGGATAAATTTTCACAAAAAATACAAAAAAATGACTGTTTCTGACTCTACACTCTAACCTTTAAGTAAAGCTTTTAACTCTGCTGCTTGTCTAGTTGCTAGTGCCCCTTTCTTTTCTCATATATCTCCATATCTTGTTCTTTTGCACTGGCTACCTATAAAATATAGAATAGTTTGTAAAATTTGCACGTTTATGTATAAGTTTCTATCTAAATTATTTCCTAAGTACTTATCAGATATATTAATTGAACCTAAACGCGCCGGTTCACGATCGTCTTTTTGTTCTCACTTCTTCTTAAACTCGTCTTAAACACTTTTGCCAAATCTGCATTTGCTTTTTCTGGTCTTTTTCTCTGGAATCTCTACCTACTTCTCTGACTACTTCTCCACCAATTACGAAGTTCACAGCGGATCTCAAGACCCATCTGTTTGCAAAATTTATAAAGGAGCGCTGTCGAACATCGCAGAAGAAGTGCATTATAAACTAATTAATTGATTGAATGATTGGTTGATTGATTGATAATGGGGGGAAGCTACTGCCTCTCTACCGTCCCCCCAAAATATGATTGACAAATTTTTAATTTATCCCCTTTATATTCACATTAGCGCTGACAAAAAACGCTGAATATTTTCTAAAAAATTCAGACAAAAAAACATTTTTTATTTAAAAACCTCAACCTAGCATTTTTATTAAATGTTTTCAAAAGAAATTCAAGTAAATATAAAATTATTTATAATAAAAATAAATGTTAAAAATTTTAAATCTTTAAAAACCCATCAACCATTTTTTAAAATGCTCGTTAATTTTAAAAATTTTAAATTATCAACTTACTACAATTGAAATTCGTCAAAAAGTATCGCGCTTGTCGATCAGATGAAAAAAAATAGAAAATTTAAAGCACCACTTTTTGAGTGGTTGACGCCATTTCGTATTTTTAAAAATTCTTAACCACCACTTCCTGTGTAGTTCAGTTCATCTTTTGTTAGTTTTTTCTCGTTATTTTAAATTTTAGTAGCATTAATATTGTTATCATTATTTTGGGTAATATTAAATCATTATTATTTTGTTATTGCTTTCTTGAATAGTAGCAGTTGTAGTAGCAGTAGCAAAACAATAGCAATAGCAGTAGAAGTAGTAATATAGCAGCAGTAGTAGTAGTTTTAGCAGCAGCAACATTAGCAGTAGCAGTAGTGGCATTAGTAGTAGTAACAGTAGTAGTAGTAGTAGTAGTAGTAGTAGTAGTAGTAGTAGTAGTAGTAGTAGTAGTAGTAGTAGTAGTAATAGTAGTCGTAGTAGAAGTAGTAGTATGTTTATTATATTTCATTAATAATATTCAAAAATAAGCAAAATATTTCACATTTCACACTCAATCCCATCATTTCACTTGACGACCGGAATTTATTCTGGTAAATTATTGAGACAATGCCATCAATATAATACATTACCGCCATCATCAATCTAGTACCAATATTTCTAGCCAGAACTATGGATTAATTACTTTTGAAACGAACCAAGCAGAAAGATATACAAATTCGAGCGTTTATTTTGTCTACTACGTACTAAATTTGTGTAGATTTTTACCACCAGCAAATACTACAATTACTACCTAAATGTGATTTAGATATATCCAAATGACCATCATCGTCTGCGTAAACGTTTTCATTGTAAAAAAAATATATTGAAAATATAATCTAAACATCACACAAAGTTAAAAAATAATGACAATTATAATAATTTTCAAAGTAAAAATTTTGATTTTTTTTAAATTTCACAGCTACAAATTAACTTTTGTAGGTAAACAAAAAAGAGAAAAACAAATTGACATTGGCTGGCAGATGTTGTATAAAAAATTCAACACAAATGAAAATAAATCACAGCAATTTACGTTTTTATTTATAAAACCTACTGCAATGTGGGTTTTAAAAATTTTAACAAATGTGACCAGCGGCAGGCAATTCAATTATGTTAGTTGTGAGCTGTAATGGCATAAACATTTCACTCAGTTTTTCATTAATTTTTTACGTTTAAATTAATTGAAAGTTTTGGAATTAAGTAAGATGTGTGCGTGTTCTTAACATTGTAAATCTTCAGCTGTACATTTTATTAGAATTCTTTCCGCTTAACTTATTTTTTACAGTTTAAATCTGCTAAAACTGTTGAGTAGACAAATTCGGGCTGTACCATTTTTTAATAAACTACATGGAAACACCAGAAAAAAAATATTTTTTCTTAACAAGTATGAGAGTGTGAAGGCGTTTTGAAAGATGTCAGTTGAAAAATCAAACAAGCTGTTCTGTGAACATGAACATGTAACTAATTTCGTTTTTTGTCCCATGACGTTGTAATATTTTTGTCTATCATCATCAAAACACGGACAATTTTGAAACATGAAGCTTCGAAATGACGAGGCACTATGTTGCGTTGTTCGTTCGTAAAGATTATCTTGTCACGAAATATTTTTTCGAAGATTTTCCTCATTTTCATCATAATTTGAAGATTTCTTCGGTGTTTGAATAAATTTTTCTGTTAAGTTAAAATATGAGCAGACATTTTTGCTGTTGAATAAATAATATTATTATAAATAAAAATAAAATAATATGAGAATAATAAAAATGTATTAATTAAAACCGTAATAACAGTCTTAATAACTTTAATAACAGCTGGAACATGTTATTATGATTAGCAAAAACATATTTTTTCCCTTTTTTTTACTCCTGACAATGTACTAGATAGCATTTTGTTTTAATAAGAAAAGAGCAAAAAGTTAACATAAGCTAACCTTAGATGATTGGAAAAAAAGAAATAAGAAGAATTTAAAGATATTAAAGAAATCGGTAAAACCAGACACCAGAGTATTCGTCTTAACCTAATTTGGCAAGAACTTTTATTTTCAGAGAGCAAGATGACAACGATGATGGCATAGATTATTATTCTATTAAATTATTATTATTAATATATCTATAATTTTTTACCTCT